AAAATGTAAAGAAAAACTCCACTTTTGTTAAAAAATAATATAGCGTATAACATTTCTACACAAGCCATTTTGCAATTTAATTTTATTAGAAATTACCTTTCCATTTCAATCTGAAGCTGCTGTAACAAACTGTTAAAAAAAAATGCCATTTAATATGGCAGCCTGAAGTCGTTCTATACACTGTTTGTGTACAGATCTTCGCCCAGAAATGCCGTCTCCTGATTGTGATTGACCTACAGATTTTTCCAGACCTCTGCACTAAGATACAAGTAAAATTTTAGGGATTCCCTAAGGTTTAAATTCTTCCAAAGGGATTATTCTCACAGCGATTTTTTTTAAAATAAATATATTCACACTATTTATGGGGACTCAATGTACCACGTTTTCACAGTATGACGCACATTGCATCCTCCTGTGCATCCTCCCCTTAGGTCATGTAAAAGGTTATATATATTTACTGTGGTAAAATCTTTTAAGTTTATTAAACCCTTTTTTCTCTTTCATTTACCAACCATTCCATTTTAGAGGGAGGTATCTCATTTTCTATTTACAACTCTATTAACCATTGTAATTGCTTTACTTTTATCTCTATTTACATTCTTCTATCAAATCTCTCTTTTCCCTCCCTCTTTTAAATTCCTAAGCACCCGTGCCCAACATGTTTTGCCCCTATTCGGGCGTCATCAGGGCAGTGCAAATTGTGCCAACATAAAAGTGCTAGTGCTTTTGTGCCATTACCAGGAAAACAAACTGGGAATGGGTGCTTAGGGATTTATTAGTTAGAGGGAGGGAAAGAGAGATTTGATAGGAGTATGTAAATAGAGATAAAAGTAAATAGAAAATGGAGTACCTTCCTCTAAAATGGAATGGGTATTTCTAAAGGGATGCAGACACTGCAGATTTCCTCATTAGAAAGCTGAAAGTGCATCCAGTGGTTATAATGAACTAGAACCTCCTATTCAGGAATCAGTCTGGAAAAGATAGTGTGAAAAAAAAAACTTTTTCTTCAGAACAGAAAGAGGTAGGAATCAAGCAAAGTTTGTTAAAATTCTTGCAATGCACCTTGATCACTCAGAGGGGATTGTTTGTTTGTTTTTTAACTAAACTGGAATTACTCTTTAAACATTTCCTAAACTGTGCTTCATTTTGCTGAGCTTCTGTTATAATAGACATTAGTTGGCATATTGTCCTCCAGCTCACCGATGGTTAAGGCAGAGAAGCTGCTGTTTAGGCTGTCAGGCTCTGTGCTGTCCATTGACCATACATAGCAGCAACACAGAGGCTGACAGCAACAGAGTTTTACGGAGTTCATCATGGAATCCTCACCTTTGCACCCTTCCTTTTTTGTGCAGTTTTCTGCCGGGTCTACATAACAGATCACTCCTATGTCAGCATCAGGACAAAGGTATCCAGCACTGTACAAGATATACTGAAGATAGTGGCTGAGCGGATTCAACATTCCGAAGAGGACCTGGCTTTGGTCACTGTCACGTTTTCAGGAGGTAATTCTAATTCCACAATTACCGGTGTCACAGAAGAATAATGGCTGACAATTTCTAGCGCATGTACTCATCTGCCCCAGGGGAAGCGCTCAGCTGTGTGACTGCAGCTAATGTGCAGAATTTCAAGTAGGGGGCTGTTGCCATAGTGACAGCTAGTCACCCCACCACTTTTCTTAAACATTAGTCTGCTTCATGCAGGAATGCGGCGCAATGTGCTCCTCAATGTTTACTAATAGGATACACTCATATGCATGTCTTTCCCTGATAAGAGTCACTTAAACACACAACCCTAGTTTTACACTTATCAATAAAAATCTTATCATCCAGAAGAATTTAGGATAAGGAAGCAAGTTTCATACATAACGTAGTGTTAATTTAACAATCACTTTTGTACGTGAAAACAGTATGAACTTAAAGTAAACCTGCCACAATCCTGAACATGTCAAAAGGGAGGAAGCAGTGCTAAGCACAGCTCTATGGATTTGCTCACTCCCTCTCACCATCTACCAGCTGTTCTGCCATGCAATTTGTTTTACTGTAGGTTTCTTCTTCTCATGTATTTTTCAAAATCTGCTAATTTTCATAGGTTTATGACTAGTTTACTTTAACTACATTAGACTTCGAAAAACACATTATTAATTGTTTTACTAGATTAAATAATTACAAAGAATAAGAACCATGGTTAAATTATTTCAACAGAATTAGACTTTTCTGAATGAAAATGCAACCTTTGTCAATCTGCAGTGCAAAAGCAGAAACAAATAAGACATTGCCAATGAAGGACGACTCTTTTGGAAGCAGTAAGTCTCTCTTGAGAGCCTTATTTAACTACTTATTGACTCTCTGAATACGTATATATTTATTGACTCCTATTTTTAATTCCTGGATTCACCAAAGTGACCTTTTGTCACATATCTAGTAAAAAAAATCAATATGTCATCTCATTCTGACTCCACATCTTCATTTCCTTCTACAATGACATCACAGCATTCAGAGCTCTGTATCTGTCTCACATACCAACACTGTTCCATGAGCTCATGCCACACATAGATAACTCACAAGGTAAACTATTTTTAAAAATCTTGTTTGCTACCCTTGATTGCAGAAGGATAAATCTATCCTGTATGTTGTACTACATAGGTAGATCTATCATAACAAACTGCTAATACTGTACATATCCTTGACTTCAGGGGCAAATTTGAAGTAATGATTATACTTTCAAAAGAGCTGTCAGTGGCTGCAGGGTCTTCATCAGAGCCACACAATGAATTTCTATTGATTTTTGTCACGTACCATTAACTTGCTTGACCTGTCCCTACTGGCATGTTACACATATTTAGCTCTGACAATCTTGCTGGCTCATCCTGTTACCTGCTGTGTTTTGTATGGACAGAACGCCATGGAAATTAAGCTGTTCACTGTTGCTGTAGTGGAATCTTGATAGCTGCTCCGGGCACTGGGAGTGCAGAAAATGAAAGAGTGGCCCAGGCACTGGGAATGCTGTTTATTATAGAGATGCCCAGGCACTGGGAGCGCAGAGAGCTGAAGACTTGATCAGCCACTGGGAATTCTGTTAATTAAAGAGATGCCCGGGCATCTCTTTAATTAACTAACACAGAGAGGTTGATTTTAATTAGAAAATCAACCTCTCTGTGTTATTTATGAGGAAACATTGAGGTTGATTTACTAATGGACTATAGGCGGTTCAAAGTGAAATTTTATATAGCTTTGAAAATATGCTGAAGCTGTATTCTCTCAGAGTACCCAATCATGTGTTAGGTAAATTGTGGCTTGCACATTATGAGATAATTGAAATAACAAAGTTTTAACATACTTAGTAAGTCAAGTAAAATTTTACTTTGCAAAGTAATCATGTACTTTTCAGAGCGACCAGCCTCTACATCTTTAGTAAATGAACCCTCACATCCGTATAATAGACTTAGAGCTCTAAAATCAGGCATAGGTTCTTCACTGTTAGCAGTTTCATTATATAGGGTCTAATTCTCACACTCTTTTCTTTTTTCTCTCAATAGAAAAACAAGAACTTTTGCCAACAGAAATGGCACTATCAAAGTCACTGGAGTCATCGAGTCGCATTTACACTTACAGGAAGAGCGATACTTTGGTAAGAAAACACAGATAACACAGGGCATAATGTATGACTGCTGAAGCAGAGGAAATAATAGTGGTGCCTTCATATCAAGTAGTCAGTTTCCAACTTTCTTTTTTAAACCTGCACATTGCTTTGTGTAATTTGTAAATCATGTGTGGGATAATGTCCCCAAACTGTAAATTAAAAAGGATTCATTGGGGAGATTCATGACCATTTCAATTCATGAGGCCACAATGTGTGTGCATTTATAAATGTTATGGACCTCTAACTAGAATTCTAATATCTATAAAGTGGATCTCTCAATAACTTTACAAGTCTTCATGAATACATTTCTGCCATTTCATAGTATACAGCAACAGAATCCTTTTTCTCCTTTCTTGGGCGTAATCAGGTGGCTTGGCATAAGCTGAGATGATGTCATCAGTCTGCTGCAGGGAGGAGGAACCATTTCCTTAGTCTCCTCTTCAGTGATCAGACTGCAACATTATAACTTTGTAGCAAGTCACAAGATGAACGGCTGCAGCAGGGAGTCATTTTGCAGATCGCACTGGACTGGAACACAGGCACTAATGTGCCTGTCTTCCATGTGCGGGCTATCGCACTGCCTCCCGCCCCTGAATGCAGGGAGCCGGCTGGCTTGCATTCCAGTGCATTCTAGAGGCCGAACACTCTGGAACGCAGACTTTGTGGTGTGAACCGGCCCTCTCTCTTGGCTGTCTCTTCTCTCTCTCCTCACGCTCTCTCCCCTGTTTCTATCTGCTGTCTCCCTCTCTGCAGTCTCTTCTCTCACTTTCTCTGCTGTCTCTCTTATCTCTCTCTCTCTGCGGTCTCTTCTCTCACTTTCTCTGCTGTCTCTCTCCTGTCTGTCTTTTCTTACCTCCACTGAAGCAGTTTTCCAGGTCCCCTCTCATGCGCCGGCGTCCTGTCCTCCCGAGGTGCTTGTGTGGCCAAATGTGGCCGACGTTGCACATGGCGAGAGGTATCCCGCCCCTTCCCGTCTGCGGCGTCTGACACATTCAGCCGCACGAGCACCGTGGGAGGACAGGACACAGGTCAGTGAGCCAATCGCGATCTACCAGTGTTTGCTTTGCGATTGACTGGTAGATCGCGATCGACCTAATGGGCACCCCTGGTTTAAAACATTACCACTTACAGATAACATTAATAATAAAGAGAAAGTATAGTATATTTTTTGTGAGCACACATTGTTTTGCTTTAAATACATTTTATTGTGACTTTTACAAAGTTTGCTTTTTTGCCATTGTGTTAAATATAGAGATTTGCCACTAGAGTGAGCTCTCAGCAGCCGAGTGCAATCACTCTCTTTCTCTTTCTCTCCCCTTAACAAATTAAATAACATATTACCTACATAGGAGTGCATTGTTTTTAATGAGTCGGCCGATCCACAGACTGCAGTGTAGCAGAAGTAGCTGTAAAATATAACTATTGTGTAATGCTGCAAAGAAACAAGCAGAGCCCATGAGTGTAATAACCAGTTCTGGCTGCCCTCATGTTTATAAATATTTATAAATATATACATAATCAAGGTCTTAAAAACATGAACAACTATTAATATGACATCACACCTGTCTTTTTTCATGTTTATCTAACATCTATTACATTGAAAAGACTATACATTAATTGTATCCATGTTCACATGTATATAAAAAAAACAGTTGAAAGACTATAGCTTTAAGAGTATTCTGTTACCCCAAGACTATGTAGAATCTAAATTGCATATATTTCTTGCTCTGTGTTGTAGATCGAATAGTTGGCGCATTACATATTTAATTACTTGTATTATGTTTTGTTTCCTCAGAAAGGAAACAATGTTGCCAATTCTTTGTACCATCTTGCCTAGTACTGAGAGAGTTAATTACTACCTGCGCTGTATTTATTTTCATTATGCTGTCTGCCTGGTCACTTTTTTTATAATTGAATTTCCGACCAGAGTGCTTTGTTCAATGAGTGTCAATTCATCACACTCCCGTGCTTTCAAGGCCTTTTCCTAAATGGACTGAATAATCTCGCTGAAGGTGAGCAGGCATGAAGAGGAAATAAAGTACACTCCGCCTGGATTGCTATTGCTAACAGCCTTTTTTTTTTAATTGTCTTTTCAGAAGAAATGTTTACCTAAGATTTTTATCCTTTGCAGAACCCATTTGCAGAGAATGAAGAGGCGCACAGCAGATCCGTAAGAATTCTGGGGATGAACACCTGGGATCTCGCTTTGGAATTGACCAGTTTTGATTGGAGTCTCTTCAATTCAATACATGAGGTAAACTCAGCGAGAAAGCTGTGATTTATACTGGAGCAATAAGGGACATTGATAGCATTATATGTGCATGAAAAGTACTGGTCTTTCAGACATCAGGCTATAGAACCAATGCATCAAAAGTCATACACTTCATATACAGCTGCAGAATCAAAAGTCACATTTTGGAGGATTCATTGTGAATGTATCAAAGTATTGCTATTAATTAGCTTTAATGGCCAGCTCGTTTAAAGTGTATATCTTGGGGAAAAAAATTAAAGCACATTTCCGTGTATAATCCTTTTAAAGATGCTGCAAGTACAAAAAATATCCTGTTGATCTGCCAGAAATTCGGCGAGCTCCTAACAGCCTGTTTGGGATGACAACACAGTGCAATTTCTGCTATGAAATCCCAAAAAACATTATCAGCCCCGCATGCTGGATTGCAGAAATCTGCATATTCCCCACCTTCTCTCTACATTGATTTATTTTCCAGGAAAATTAAACTGCTTAACTCCCAAGACGCTGTCCACTTACTGTGTAAAAAAGGGCTCTTGGGAGGTGTAGTTCTTGGAGCATGCCCACATCAATAAATAGAGGTAGGATTGGGGTTATATTTGAGCAATGCTTATAAAAATAATTTTATAAGCAGGAGATTCTTTTCAATATCCACCCAGGAAGCTTCATGCACACAATCGTTTATTGTATCTTTGCCAAGGAGGTGACAATGCATGTAATAATAGAAATTAAAATTTTGAAATGCAGATACACCCTGCAGACTAAACTGGCTTCTTAGTGCCCAGCACTGTTTACATCCTCCAGCACTTCAGAATATTGAGAAAGCATTGTTTACATATCAGCTCATTTGTTAAAAAAGGCATGGCCCCTCACTTTCCCAAATGGCATCACTCCTTCACTAGTGTCACTCCCTCACTGGCCAAACCAGAGGCATGTTGTGTCTATTAGCACCATCGATTATGTAAAATGTGGGCTGCTGGTAATGTGTTGTCACCATTGAAATCACCAGTGGGACATCATGCTAAAACCTGCCTTAGGTACATGTAGTGACCAAGAGACCGCCATTATTCTCTGCGGCCAAGCCTGGGACATGTGCAGGAATTCACAGAATAGAGCTGTGCCAGAAGATTTAAACACTGTCCAGTCTGTGATTATTTCTATTTCCTAAAGATGGCGGGGTAGGGTGGATACAGAATATTGTATAAAAGTACAGTTATCTATATTTGTAACAAATGGCATTTGTAATTGCATTTATTTTTTGTTATATCTCCCCAACTGACCTTGGTAAATATCTACTTGTATTGCAGCAAGAGCTGATATACTTCACATTCAGCAGACAGGGGAAGGGTGAGAACACGCTGAACCTGAGTCTTCTACTGCAGAGATGTAATGAAGTCCAGCTCTGGGTGGCCACAGAGATCCTGCTCTGCAGCCAGCTGGGAAAACGGGTGCAGCTAATGAAGAAGTTCATCAAAATCGCTGCTCAGTAAGTCGAAGGTTCACAATTTGTCCTATTTAAAAGCTAAATATACATTCATAAGGAGTTTCCAGATAGAACATGTGAAAACCTAACTGTCCAGTCTTTATTATGATTGTCATTTTTGGTAATCCACCTTGTGGGTTAGGACCTTGGGAAAAAATTTTGAATCTGACTTTAAGGCCCAGCACTTTTACATTACCAATATGTTCTTTAACTACTTGTCGTAAATACGCACTGGGTGCGCCTACTTGTGCAAACGATTACGCCGCACATATTACCACGGACGTTAGAGTGCAAGCAATAATTTTAGAGCCATTAATCACTAATAACACTAAACAGCACTAAACAGATGAGCGGCAAATGTTTTTAAAGTGCCGCCTATGGCAAATGGCACCCAATTTTAAAGCTATAAATGTTTGATAACATAATGTAGGGAAAATTTATTTATTTTTTGTTCAAAATTTTCGGTACTTTTTTCTTTATTTAGTAAAAAATAAAACCCCCAGTGGTGATTAAATACCATCAAAAGAAATCTCTATGTGTCCCCAAAATAATTATATAAAATGAATCTCAATACAGCGTTATATGACGGAATAAATGAATACTTCAATGCTTATATGAAAAATAAATTGAGTACTTCAATGCTGAATACTGAAAAATGGCCTGGGATGGAAGGGGGATGGAAGGGTTGCTGACCCAAGTCAGCAAGTGGTTAATAGATTCCTTTTTTTCTTCTCAAAAAGCAATGACTATTTAACTTTTTTTCCCACAGCAGTGACCCTTCAACAACTTCCACTGTTTAAAGGGAAAGTGTAGTATATTTTTACTGAGCACATATTTTGAGTTGTTAGTGAAGTGCATACTTGATTGTATTTTTGTGGCTTTTAGATTATTAAACTATTCCTCTTCAGTTTGGCCATTTTATCAAATATAGAGATGTGTATGTAAGTCTTTTTAGAGTGAGATAACACTCATTCTGCACCTGAAAGAGAAGATATCAGCCACACAGGGAGCACATTGTTTTCCTATAGTTATTGGCCAACTCGTAGACTTGCATAGTGAGAAAAAGTAGTTAAGCACAACCATCGGGTAGCACAACACAGTACAAAAATAGACTGCATATGTATTGAACAAATATGGCTACCCCAATTTACATACACAAACTATACAGAGAAACAAGACTTTTATGAAACATTAAGATCATGGGTTAAGTGACGCTAATCTCTTACACTTGTATCACTAGAAATAATTGAAAGCTCTGTACATTTTCCTTAAAAGAACAGCTCAAGGATAAAAATAATCACTGACATGCTAATGCTATGATGAGGCAATCCCCGGCTCTCCCCATTTGTATACATGTTCTTCTGTAGCACTGACAGCATGATGTAAACCAATATAGCCCGAATTGATCCAGAAAATATTACAGGAGGCTGATATAAATACAGATGTGTTTCATAATAATAACTGAATGAAATTGTGTGTTTGTACTGCCTTGAGTTCATCTTTAAGCACTATCATAATTATCCTTGAACTGCAAGTGTTCTCACAGGAGACCTGTTTCCATTTCACAGTGTGTGTGTAAACTGTGAACCCCATACAGACATTTTCTGAGAAATATAAATGACAGTGATTAGTGACCTCCTGCCACATTTTCTTCTCATTTGTGGAAAATGAAGCCGAATCTCTGTACTTGAGTAAAACATCACAGAACCCCCTCTGTCTTACAGCAGTTAATTGTTCTTCTCTTTCAGACTGTGCATTCTGAAGAGAATTCCTAAGGGTGAATGTGTGAGCTGGAATAAAATCTATATGCCATGCATGTTATTTATGAATCAGCTAGTGTGTTTAGGACTGCCTTTTCTATTTATAATTCTGAGGCCTAAACAGGTTCCACTGGACTCCCCAATGATTTACTATTTCCAGGCTTCATCCTTCAGCATCCAGTTCTATTAGTCAGGAATAATTTATCATTATTTCTATTACAATAAGTGCAGCAAAGTAATACTGTATTCTGGTTTAAAGCTGGACTGCAGACTGAAAGCTAAATACATACATGGGAGCTGTTCTGCCCGCCATAGAATTGATCTTTTTTGTTCAGCCAGTTGTGTGATCCAGTTGCCACTGCTAGACACCAAAGGCAAACCCTTGTCCTGTAGTAAAGCACAGCTCAGAGAACAACATGACCAGTGTGCTGATTGGACAATAAGGGACAGCAGCACACTAATAAGTTCATCCCTCTGCTCAGATGTTCCCAGTCAGCACATGTGCATGCAGCAGAGCCCAATTGTATCCTAGCATTGCCTCTCCCTCTCCTGGTATGAAGGCTGCTTTGTGGGAGATTACAGGAGGCTTATATTGAGGTTACTGTTCGGGGTTCTTGGAAAATATTAGGGGTCTAAGAAGACCTCTGACATTTCCCTTTACTGTAGATATAGTATGAGTTACTATGTCCAGAATCATGAATGAACAGCAAGTGATGTACGGCACATCCTATTCATTCATAATTGGGAACACAGTAAACATACAATGCCCCCAGTTATTTACAAACACTCAGCGATCAGCTGAGCGCTTGTAACCGCTCTCCATCCTGACTCTTCCGCACTCCATCCTGACTCCTGGCTGTCACAGGAGGCTGAGCCGGCGTTGCAGGGAGGACAGCTCAGCCTCCTGTGACATGGCTGACAGCTGACTCCTCCCCCACACCGCCGACTTGGCCTCACCTGTGACACAACTCGCAGCACTCTCCTCCCCACTAGGCCTCCTGACAGTTTCCCTCCTCCTGCTAGTCACTGCTCTGTGTCAGAGGGGACACAGAGCAGCGCCCAGCAGGGACTAGGGAAACTAGAGATGCGCCACAAAATGGTACTTTTAGCATTTTTCCCAAAGTACCATTTTCAGCCGATATGTTTCAGTGGCCAAAATTGTAATGCATCCCTAGAAGGAATACTTGCATCTCCTGCAAGTCTCTTCAGAAATTTACACTTTCGGGAGTGTCGATCTCTTGTGTCCCCGTAGCGCTGAGTGTGTCCTCCTGGGTAGAACCATGCAAATTATTTATTCATGCATGTGGTCCAGAGCCACAGCTTTATAGTACAGATGCAGCTAAATAATACAGAGGTTTCAGGCTTGTCAGTTATCATCAGTGTAGAAGCAATGACTTCTGTGGAGTAGAGGGTGTTGTGCCTTGTTGTTGACATTAAAATCCCTTGGCTGTTTGCAAGACTGTAAACATGTGTTGAAATCATAGTGTACCCTTCTTAACCTACATCAATGATTTTATCAAGCAGAGGTAAATATACAGTGCAATTAGGTGCAGCAAAGGTCCTTACCTGAAAAGTTAGAACTATCTATATTGACAGCTATAGAAGATAGAAATATTAGACCTGCCATTCTCAACTTGGATTTTGAAGGTACCAGTTCATACTATTGCTTTTTTCTCTGCCTGGTGAGCCATTGTTCTAGAACCATTATGCAGCTAGGGAAGTCAGGACTCTTAGCCTGCATACTTGTAGGAAAGTGACTCCGTAAGTAAACAAGGATTAGTGACAGTTGTGCTTTTGTCCTCAAGAACCAAACTCGCAGTGGCAGCTCTGATGTTTCTTTACTAGTGGACTCCCTATTAAGTATAGCAGCAATCAAATAGCATGGTATGAACTTGGTAAATAAAATGTGCGTAATACATTCTTTTTTTTCTAACAGTTGTAAAGCTCAAAGGAATTTGAACTCTTTCTTTGCAATTATAATGGGTCTGAACACGACATCTGTCAGTCGACTGTCTCAGACATGGGAGGTAAGGCATTTCAGCAACTCATTTATAATCATTAGTACTTATCTATTTGAAAAATAAAAATGAACCTTAGTGTTGTTGTATTAGGGATTTATCAAAAATGGTAATATCTTATCATGAAGATTTGTGTGAATGTCAGAATTTATTACTGCGCTTGTGTGTTATTATTGTAATACCAAAGTTGCATAAAAACATATTGCATGAACTGGTGTAGTTGGTAAGCATTAAAAACCATTACCTACATCTTAGAATTGTTCTGTGGTATTTTGAAGCACAGTAGCACCTTCTTAAAACAGGAAGTATTTACATGTCATCATGTCCATCACGAATCCCAAAAATAATAATTCCTCATTTCAGGATTGTGGGTGGAGCCATGCAAATCATTCCTTTATGGCTACGGTTTAAGTGTGTATCCAGAGCCGCAGCTATATGGCACAAATACAGCCAAACACAATAGCTGTTTCAGGCTTGTTGGCCATCATCAGTGCAGTTTATGGAAACAATGGCTTCTATGGAGTAGGGGATGTTGTACATTGACTCATTGTTGACAATTGAAGCTATGGGCTGCTTCAAAACTGCACAGTATAATTTAATCTGGGCATAGAGTACCCTTCTCGGTAAAGATACAGTTAGGCACAACATAGATTTGCTGTACATGTTAGTGTACTGCTAAATAAACCATGTTATAGGTTTGATAAAACTGAATTTAAAATCCGTATAGCAAATGCTCAACCCCATATTGGAGGGGTGAACCTCAATGGCAAAAGGCAAGCAATAAACAAAAATTTTTATTGTTCATAAAGGGCCACTACAATGTCTCCATCATGGTTGTTTGTCTGGAACCTTTTGATCCCCATGGTCTTTGTGTGTGTTGTAAAGTAGCCACCACTCCAAGCTCACTCCCAACTATAATCTCACATTCAGTTTACAACACACACAGGGACCATTGGGAACAGAAGTATCCACCTTCCAGAAGGAAGGACGGTGTCAGCACCAATTCAGAGATGATTTAAGGATCTACAGCCGAGTGATACACAAATAAAAACTACGGGGAACAAAGGGAGCTACGCAAAATACAGCAAAAGTAAAAACCAAACTCCAGGGTTTCAATAAAACTATGTTACACTAGAAAATCCCCTATGCACAGAAATCCCTAATTGGAGCTGATCTAATAAACAGGTTTACACATATGGAGTATGTATGAGTATCAAAATTTAATAGTAACAGAATAAAAACATTGAAACACCTTCAACAAGACATTTAAAAACATTTAAAAATGACTTCCCTCAGGATAACCCGATAAGTATAATAGTCTGAGCGGCAGATAGTCACTGGTGCAAGCACAATGGCCACAATCAAATGTGGATTCTTAGTATCTGGGCTTACTCACGTCACATAAGATTCAAAGTGGTGGACAATCCTCATAGAATCCTGTGCTGATGTGTAATTTGGCCTGGAACAAGACTGCTCAGTGGCATTTCCAGAAAATCCAACTTTGTTAGGTGAAAAACCGGATCTCGGGGATGCCTCTCCACCCACTGATCTGTGATCACACTTGCCCGCAGAGTTGAGTTTCCAAACCGTGACGGGAACATCCAAAGAGATTCCAAGCTTGTGCGGCCGCGCAGCTGAATTAAATATGCTGGAGTCCTCACAGCGATGAGCCCGTGCTGTAATAAAGCCCAAAGCCGAACGAGATCGAGTGGCAATGACTCGCTCGCACTTCTCAATTTCAGCCTGGATAGTGCAGGCTGATCAGCTGCTGCAAATCGGACAGCGTCCCGGTAGTTTTGGTTCCATCCCTTAGTTTGAGAAACCGTGCAGTATAGTTGGCCGCATATGGGTCTGCTACGGGTATCCAGGGAAGCTTTCACAAACACGTTGCCCTGAGGGATGTTCCCGTCACGGTTTGGAAACTAAACTCTGCGGGCAAGTGTGAGCACAGATCAGTGGGTGGAGAGGCATCCCCGAGATCCGGTTTTTCACCTAACAAAGTTGGATTTTCTGGAAATGCCACTGAGCAGTCTTATTCCACGGCAAATTACACATCAGCACAGGATTCTATGAGGATTGTCCACCACTTTGAATCTTAAGTGACGTGAGTAAGCCCAGATACTAAGTATCCACATTTGATTGTGGCCATTGTGCTTGCACCAGTGACTATCTGCCGCTCAGACTATTACACTTATCGGGTTATCCTGAGGGAAGTCATTTTTAAGTGTTTTTAAATGTCTTGTTGAAGGTGTTTCAATGTGTTTATTCTGTTACTATTAAATTTTGATACTCATACATACTCCATATGTGTAAACCTGTTTATTAGATCAGCTCCAATTAGGGATTTCTGTGCATAGGGGATTTTCTAGTGTAACATAATGATACACAGATAAACTACATTGTTTTAATAGTTAAGGTACTTGAATGCATTTTTAAGATTTAACTCCTGAGTTTAGTGTCACTTTAAAGACTACTTATGTAGCTTCTACACTGGTTACCAGTGAATTGTGAAGTTATAATTGGAAGTTGACTGTCCCCTCTTTGTGTCGATAAACCACATTTAAGGTCTATTGCTATTATTTGGGGCACAAAATATGGGAATGTAATTTATAGAGTTTGACTCTATACTTCTAGCAGTTAACAAACATTCAGTGTGCTTAAAATATAGAAATGTAGATAAAACTCTTTGGTAGACCAGTTTTTGTGTTTAAATATGCTCTCAAAGCTTTACAAAATGGTGATTTTTTTTTTCTAACTTGAGATCTTAGCTTTGTTTGCAGTATCAGATTAGTAATGGAGATGCTTGTCATTCATTGCACGTTGCGTACTACTCCACAGGGCAAAGAATTCAAGCAAAGCCATCAAACTATTTTTTGTGTTCCTGTGCTACAAGGTAACATTATATATTCTCTTTATTTTCCTTCCAAGAAAATCCCAGGAAAGTTCAAGAAACTTTTTGCCGAACTTGAAAGTCTGACGGTGAGTTTCCTGCCCTGTTTACACTTCTTCTGTCGCAGTGCGGATATTTCACTGTCACCTCCATGCAAGGTTGGCTGCTGTATACCATGCCAAACCAACACTGGAGAAACTTGGAATAAAAAATTACAAAGGAAGATCTATGCAGCTGCAGAATTGGGGTTAGCAATTAGTATGGACAGGGCTTTGTATGATGAAAGCAATCTATTTTAAAAGACAATAATAGCTGTATGCATATAACATTATAACCATCCAGATAACAGTTGTGAACATGAACTATCCTTGAGAGGACTTTTTTTCTATATATGAATGTGATCAGCTTAGTGCAATTACTGCAATCATTAAATATCTGTCACTGTGCATAGTTTGTTCAGGAATAATTGCATATGCAGACTGTGTACCCTGCAAGTACTATTGCACTGTGACTGTAGCGTAAGAGCAATTAATTGAAAACAATGTACTCTCTATCAGGCGAACTGATCTTAACTCTGATATACAGATGCACAGTAGAATGGGCTTTTACAAATCTGCAGTGCAGTATTCAAAATATGGTGCAACAAGCAAGTATAAATATGAGAGAGGGTTGTATTTTTAATCTACTGAACATCACTGCCTTGAAGAATAGAGACTAGTCTCAGAGACAGAGGTTGGCCAACATACACAGAATAGCACACCATATGGTTAAATACCAGAACAATATATAATGGGGTGTTAAAGCCACCACAGATAGCGCTTTCTATCTGATCATACAGTTTGAAGGACAGCCAGCACACCCAAATCAGGACCCAATTAGTTGTCAGTTGGTCCATGACAGCAGAAATTCATCATCAGCATTTAAAGTGAACCTGTGCCCAGACTATGTACACTTATATATTCTGAACAAGCACTTTAAGTCAAGCCTTCATTCTTCCCTCTAGTTATAGATATTGTGGAGAAATGTGTCTTCAAGTACAAGAGAGGCATAGAAATCTTCATTTTTCCTATTGCTTTCTTTTGCACCAGAGTCTTGGCAGCCTGCAAGCCACAACATGTGTTTCTATGCTGCTAGAAATCAACTAACACTGAACTTTAGAGTCTATTTTGTGATCTTTGTGGATCTCTGAGGATGAATTACTTCAGAATACAAGCAGCTAGAGAGGTCCATAATAGCTTGTTTTAAAACTCTATTACTGTTGCTTGTTTAGAATATATAAATAATTGAATGTGTTTAATCTTGGTATTGGTGCACTTTAGGGGCCACTGGCGATCTGTTTGTCAAATTTTCATAAAACAGTTTCATGCAGCTGACGATGGAAATTCTTTAGCTTGCTGCTATAGTGAGATGTTGGTTCAGAGCAGTCAAACATGTATTATTCTATTTGTACGGTAAAATCTGACTTCATGTTCATTGCATTTTACAGGATCCATCTTTAAATCACAAAGCTTACCGAGATTCTTTCAAGAAAATGAAGCCGCCCAAAATCCCCTTCATGCCTTTACTTCTAAAGGGTAATTTAATCGCATTGATCTGTATATAGCAGGTTCTTCTGGTATACTTGTATAAAAATGCATGGTGGTCTGCCAGGTTTGAGGGACTTTAGCGGGTGTCATACAAGGGGCAGTCTGGAGCAGTCATGATAATTCTGTAGCCCTCAGGATCACATTCATGCAAACCTATAATAAATCCTTAGCGGGAAATCAGTAAAAGTCCCTATTTCGATAAATAATGGCAGTGCATATGATGCACATTCTGAATGAAAAAAAAAAGATATTTCTCTTTTCATCCGTTGCTTAAATTGATGGCTGATATTTCATATAAATGCATTCTGATTGAAGTACAACTGTGCGGGCCATGTCTATAATTTGTGGCTCAATTATTTCACAATTTCCTCTGCTTAAAAGACAGCTGTACCCACGCCGGTTTAAATGCAAATTGTGTTCCCGCTTTGGTAGCTTTGAAGCTTTGCTGAAGCTCTTAAGAATCTCTAGTAATTAAAATTTAAAGCTAAATGTTGCTCTTGTGACTGTACTGCTATTTCTGAATGTTAAGTATTTCTAATTTGACTGATTCATCTGCCTGTCCTGACTGAGGCATGCTAAAATCACTAGAGGTCTGCTACCTATAAGTGTTAAATATTTAAGATACAGGCCTATGCAGGCAGCTCTGAAATTAAATTGACTTAGCTCTTTACTTACCTTGCTGTTTTTAGACTTCTGCCCAATAATCATCAGGATGACGGTGATTGGATAAATCAAGGGCCACCAAAATGTGTCAAAAGGTGTTAAATTTCAACACTCAATGAATTACTCATGTTGCCAGGGATTAACAATTTTATTGTATTGTGGCAGCGCTACAGATTATTTTAAAAAAATGTATATATTGGTCAAATGCAGCCATTGATCTGTTCTATTTCTTTTCAGATGTCACATTCATTCATGAAGGAAATAAAACATTTTTGGATAACCTTGTCAACTTTGAAAAGCTAGTGAGTTATTAAGTTGTTTTTTTTTACATTTGATGTTGCTTTCCTGTCTATAAATACATTAATATGCAAGTTTCTGTTTGATAAGAGTGCAGTAAGATAAAATGCAATGAGAAGTAAGCAACTGTATTAAACTATAATAACAAATCAGATTTTCATTTTACCGATCTGGTTTCTATATCTGATTGGATCGTAGTACAATTTACATTATTAAATCAAATGGCTCTGACAATTTAGAAAGACAAGAAACACCAGTTTTTAAAGAGGGCAAGCCACTCTACTAATTTGGTCCTGGCTTTGCTACATACTGAGTCACTGACCAAGCACACGTATGCACCCAGATTGGGTTTAAATGACTGAGCTATCTTCCTGTGACTATTTAAGTCAGCAATTCAGTAGATAGTAAAGCCAAGATGAGGATAACAGCCTTGTAGCCACGGGTAGAGGAACAGTGGTCTTGGGACTGCCCTCTGGTATCCCAGAAATATGATTTTGTTATCACGCTCGCATTAAAGTGCTCTGAGCAGACCCATGTAGCCTGATGATTCTGCAGTGCAGTTACTGGCCTGGTGCCAAGATGCTTCCCTGTGCATCCCAATCACTTATTTATGTGATGTCACATGGCCTAATAAAAGGCAGGCATGGGACCGCATCCTTGCAGATAATATCGTTGTTCAGCTCTGTAAGATAAACTGACTGCCCATAACCTCTTCCTGTGCTGTATATGTTTAATTTATGTGTGATAATAATATGTAATGCATGCTGTTGAGGGGTGATAGAGGGGAACCCTAACCCTCCTGGGGCAATGACTAAGCCTTGACTTTGTGTTGTGAGAACAATAAGGTAGAAGTGCAGAAAGAAAAGATGAGCAATGAGACAGGTAGCAGAGGAAGTGAGGACACTCTGGTCTATAGCTACACTACTCCCTGGGGTTTAAAAAAAAACCCCAGAAGCTCATATATATCTTATCCTAAAAAATCCTAACTAAAGTAACAAAAATGTAAAATAGTTATTAAACCGGTGCTATGCCACCATTATTGTTGAACAGACTTTGTCCTGCTCCACAGTGCACAAAGCGATTCTCTATTCAATGGGTTTTAAAGACATTGCAGTGCCCCCGGGGACAAGGTGGTTGCCTGTACTGGTTATAGCCTTGGAAATGCTTGGTGGCATTATTCACAAATGACCTGTGGGGTATTGTGTGGGGAGACCCTCTCCAGTCAGCAGTGGTCCCATATAAGCACAAGTTATACTTTTTCTGTGTGACTAGTAAAGACTTCAACATTATGGCTAGAGGCCACCACCTAAAATTGGTGGAGAAAAGATTTAGCCACACGGGGCGTAGGGGCTTCTTTTCAGTTAGAGGGGTTAAAGTCTGGAACTCGCTGCCACAAGCAGTGGTATCAGCTGAGAGTATTGAATCATTCAAAAAGCATTTGGACAACTTCCTCAGAGACCGTAACATACAGGCGTAAAGGTACTCGTAAAACCAAGATCACACAGGGACTCGTATACCCACATACACATGCACAATCACATACAGACATACAAAGGTTGAACTTTATGGACCCGTGTCTTTATTCAACCTCAAATACTATGGCAGACATAAATCTTACACTTTCCCAGTGCAAATAGATCTACAAATTTAAATATTAAAGAAACTTAGACCATAAGTGGTGTAAATACAATTTTCTACCATGTTATCAAGACACTTTTTGGGACTTTTCTGAAATACAAGCGCCATTTCAGTTAAAGGGGGCCTATATACTTTTATCTGCCAGACTTAGTGGTAGCTACGTTCTTTTCTCTTTCTCGCTGTGCGCATTTATGTGTAAAGCTCACTGGTAGTAAACAGAGTATTGTTAGCTGCTGCCTCTCTGTTTTGGTTGTGGCTAAGTGACATGTTGTTGTGATGTGGCTCATTAGTCTCCTCTGCCCCTGAAACACCCCCTACCTTGTGTTGTTCCCCTTCTGTGCTAAATCGAAGCTGATAATCAGGAAATCATTTCCTGCGTGTGCTGCTTTGGATTGTTTTGATTTTCAGAAGAAGTAAACACACTGCATGCGGTTTCTGTTTCCAGCTCTGCTGTTTGGCTCTTCTGACAAGGATACAAATAGGTTGTCAACATGTCTTAAACCACCATCATCCTAGCAGATAGTGATTGCCATTTTTGATGCATTGTCTCTATTGTTTTGAGTCTGTCCTGGCAGCTTTGTTCTTGAGCAGGAAGAAAATTGACATTTAAGCTTAAGAGTACATGTGACCCCAAGTTCAGATGTGGCTGAACAATGAGGGTCGGATTCAGAGTGACTACAGGAGCAATGTTTCTTGGCACACGCCACCTTGTGTTTTGTCTAATAGGTTATGATTCACTTCTGCCTGTAGAACTCCTGAACACAGCATTTCCTTCGCCTTACTGAAGCGATGATTATCTGTTTCTGGCCTTTCGCTGTAATTCATTTTCTGTGATAAAAGAATCAGATTTGTGAGTCATGGTCATGTGCACTGATGATGGTGGTTTTCTTTTTTAATCCTGTACATAAATAGACACACATAATATGTAAATGTATAATTCAGTATAGGGTGCTATTCTTGATCTCCTTCTGAAAATGCTAGTTGGCTGGCTATCTAGTAGAGATTATTGAATAGTCTAGGTTTCACTCTGACTGTAATATGTTGGAGTAGAGTCTATTATTCGGTTTGTCAGCCAAATGTTTGAATCACTTGTCACATAAGTATAATGTTAATAAGTGGTCAAAATCATGATGCAACAGTCCACCAGTTGAAAGCAAAATGCCTGATAAGGAGTAACTCATAATGCCACAGCAGTCATGGAGGCAGCAATTCTCAACCCATAATGCTCCGCAGTGTGTTAAAGTGACACTAAACTTAGAAATTAAATAATAAAAACACATTCAAGTACCTTAACTATTAACACAAATGTATCTTATTTGTGTATCACTCGGCTGTAGATGTTCAAATGATCTCTGAATTGGTGCTGACACTGTCCTTCCTTCTGGAGGGTGGCTACTTTTGTTCCCCATGGTCTTTGTGTGTGTTGCAAAGTAGCCACGGCTCCAAGCTCACCCCTGGGATGGACTACAATCACAATACAAATGAGTAAACTAAAGGTGAGATTGTAGTCCATCACAGGCGCAAGCTTGGAGAGGTGACTACTTTATAACACACACAGGGACCATGGGGAACAAAAGTAGCCCCCCCTCCAGAAGGAAGGACAGTGTCAGCACCAAAACAGAGGTGATTTGAGGATCTACAGCCGAATGATACACAAATAAGATACATTTTTGTGAAATATTAGGGAACTTGAATGCATTTTTAAGATTTAATGCCTGAGTTTAGTGTCATTTTAAGGGTCCAATAGAAAAATGTCACCAGCACAACATAAGTTGAAAAAGCGAAATATTTTATTGCCAATAGCTGTATCTCATTGGCAAGCACTTTCGGGGCTTCACAGGGTCTCCTTCATCAGGCTTAGAGGTTTATCTCTAAGCCTGATGAAGGGGACCCTGCGAGGCCCCGAAAG